AGAAAGGAGATCCGCCACTATTTTTGTAGCATTTCCCAAAGTTTCCCATCACTGATTGTCCTGAAAGTTCCCACAGCACCTCTTTGCAAGCTGCACCTCTGCCTTTGGCTGGCATCTCTTGGAGTACTTCTCTGGGCAGCAGGGATTGCTCTAGGCAGCTGTTTTGGCAGGCTGAATCTCTCATGTTCTTTTATCTGCTAATGATTTGTTTGGCCTTTTTCTCATATTTTGCTCAGTATCTGTACCTACCTTTCCTGCTCTGTAGCCCCTTCTTGCCATTGAAGCCCCTGGATGCATCTCCCTTCCCCCACTCATGCCACTGAGGGTTCTAGGCTACCATTCAGCAAGCAAGTCCAGTGAACCTTGGTCAAGTGATGTTAGGATTCATGCTGTGCTGTCCAGTATGGTAGTCACTAATCAAAGTGGTTGTTGAACATTTGAAATGTGATTAATGCAAATTTAATTTGCAATTTTATTTTATTTCAGTTGATTTAATTTTAAATAGCTACATGTAGTGAGTTTCGACCATATTGGACAAAGGCAAACCTATCTCCCTTTTTCTCTCAGGTCTCCCCAGTTTCCTTTTTAGTCTGGGTTGGATCATTTTTGACTAAACATGTCCTGTGACCTCTTTGTTGATGGTGGCTTCAGAGGAGGCTGGTTCAGGATACTGTGTGTTCTGCCCAGTCTGTATCCTCCCATACCCTAACTCACCCCTTTGCCACCCTGTCACTTGTCTGTCCTCTGCCTGGTTCCTGTGGTTGCAGGGTGTGGCCTCTCTTTCCTGTCCTCACCAGCTTCCTCTAGGGCTCTTGCTAGAAAGTGACCCTCCAACAATCCCAGCTGGTCTTTGTCCCTCCACTCTGGGGGGACTTGAAGGTATGTTGAGAACCCAGAGGGCAGGCAGAGCCCCAGTTTCCTTTTCTTTAATTCACAACTGTACTGTCCTTCTCTGGGTTGCCAGGCTCTGCCTCCTCCAGTCACCCCATCTCTGTCTACCCTCACCCCACTCAAAAGCTAGGCTCACTAGGAAATTGCTCCCTCAGCATCTGTAGGACTTCTTCAAGAAGTGAAATTCCCAAATCCACTTTGAAGGAGAAGAAGGGATCACAGAGGTCCAGAGCTGGTGTCTTCTGGAAGGTGGCAGTGTCTGAAAGGTCCTCCTCTGAGGACTGGTGGAAGGTGCTGGCCAGGGATAGCGCTGAGGGCAGGGTGGCCGAGTAGGCAGCAGTGTAGGTAGCTGGGGGCTCCAGGATGTTCGGACAGCTGGAGCTCTCTCGGTAGAGGCGCGGGGGCTTGGGTGGTGCCAGCAGAGTGGCCCGGGGCTGCTCATCCCCCCACAGGGGCAGACGCCGTCCATCTGGCCTCCCTTGAAGTTCCCGGATAACCTCTCTGTTGCTGTACTCCTCATGGTCACCACCAGCAGTGCTGGCCTGGCTAAGCACACTGCCCTGTCGCCGGAGTCGCCTCGGCCGTCCCAGAGTCAGCCGCTTGAAGAAGGAGGCATTGCGGAAGGAACCTTTTCTCCAGGTCTCCATGGGCTCTGGGGGACCAGTAGATAGTCTGGCACCTCAGAAGCCAGCAAACAGGTGTTCAAGAGCAGCTAGTGACCATTTAGTCCCTGCTGGAACAGCGAATGCCAAGAATCAGGGAGTCTGCCCTAGTGGGCTGGAAACAGGCCCTAGCTTTTTGGTCAGCATCTTGGATGGTGAGATGAGACCAGGAAGAGGGCACTTTTTGTCCAGGAAAGCAGAGAGCTGGGAGTTCCTGGTAGCAAGAGTTCCCACAGGGACAGGAGTGGCCTGGTTACTTGATAGGGCAATGGAAAAAAACCCGAAGGAAGAAACAGCACTTACGGAACCAGAGTGAGGGCAGCTCCGGTGGCGGTGGCAGAGATGAATCTTCTCAGCTGGGCGAGGGCAGCTGTGTGCTCCTTCCACAGGAGGCAGATGGGCCTCAACTCATCCTTTCATCGACTCCTGAGGGCTTTTGCGCCCTTCTCTAGGCCAGTGCAGCGTTTGCCCTCTCACCAGCGGCTGCGGGACTCTGATTAGTGGCTTGGCTGTTTGTGCCAGTGTGTGGCAGTGGAGATGTTTTGTTTTCAGCTGACTCAGTCAGGTGGGAAGCCGGTTTCATGCTCTTAGGTAATTGCAGCATCCGCAGGCAGGGATTGGGGCAGTTGTGACCAACACCCCAGGGCAATGGGAAGCTTAAGATTCTTCTGGGGACTGGTCTGGGGGCAGCCCTGCATTATGTGTCACCATACTGCTTCCTTTCTCATCACAGTTCCACCACCCTGGCCCCAGCTTGCACACTTGGCTCCCCAGCCCCCAACGTGTCTGGGAGGAGCCAAGGGAGGTGGGCGTTAATTGAAAGGCAGGCCCGGGAAACAGCTGCTGGGGAAGGAAGAGAGACCTGTCGACCTGTTGCTGGTGTGGGTGACTCAGCCCTGGGGCCTGGTGACAGGCCCTCATTAGCAGAGCCTGCAGGAATGGGGGGAAGGAAGCAGAGGGTGTGTTAACGGGGAACAGCCCCATGCCTATAAAGGTCTTGGCTCCTCCCAGGGCTGGGCCTGGGGCATGCCAAGGGTGACTCTGGGTTTTCTTGGCAGAGCAACATTAACTTGGGGAGGGGAGCGTTGCCCTTCCCATGGCCTGACATCCTGTCTGGCCGCTTTGTTTCCTACTCCTCCCTCCTGGCAGCAGGAGATCAGTTGAGGGTCAGAGTGTGCTGCTCTCTCCTTCCACTCCTGTCCTTCCCCTCTAGCCACTGGACCTTATTTGTGACCCCTCTTCTGTGGAGGGGGCTGGGTCAATTGTGACTGCTAGGAATTGTCAGCAGTGCCCCCAGGGGTTTGGCTAGGATGGAGACTCTCCTAGGGCAGTGGGAGGGGTCAGGGCAGAATATTTCTCTGACATGACACTCCTCACTCCACACCAGCTGACCAGGGCCAGGCAGCTTAACTCCAGCCACTCCCTCCTTATCCTCGGGTCACTGACCACCATACTTTCCTCCTTGTCTATTCCATGTGAGTGCACCAGTGTGGAGAACCCCAGAACAGGGCTCTACAGCTTTCTGGCATGGATAGGACACCTCATTTGCAACCCTTTGTCTCTGTGTTAGTTTAGGTGGGCTTCACACTTGTCTAAGCAGCTAGTGGAGTCTGAATAGTCTCTCAGCTTTGGCTGCACTGAGGGAGGAAATGATCTAATTCTAATTCATATTGCAGACCTTATCAGGACCTGGGGCTGACAGCTCAGGGCTCTGCTATAGCACTGCCTCTCCACCCGCAGCCTCAACCCACTGAGGTGGTTGTTTATTATTCTTTTGGTTATTAAAATATAGCCCTCCTTAATCCCCTGCAGTGCTAGCAAAATCATAAAAGCGGGCCACAGGCCCTGCGCTTCAGCCCTGCTGTGTATTTTTAGGCAGCAAATGGTCTCCTTGTGCTCACTTCCGTAGTGGGGTTGTTTGAGGCTGTGTGGAGGGCAGGGCTCCCTTCTGTGTCCTCAGCAGGAGCCTACCATAGGGAAGCCAGGCAGCTGGCTGGAGGCAGCTTTGGTCTGTTCTCAG